ACAAGGCAGATTACTATTCCTCATGGAAATCCTGTGGATTCTGATGGCTCCAAAAAGAAATGAATCATGAATACTGTCTGATTCTTTGCTTTTCTCTTTAAATACTGTTCTAACACTTATAACTGTGGTTTTTAAAGACAGGCATTCTGCTTAAGCATGGAAAAGGTGGTTTCTGTCACACAGACTATCAAGGAATTGGAAATATTCCTTAACTCTTTATGACTGATCTGGACTTCAGGCAAGTCTATGGAGTTCTTGAACCTTATCATGAAATGGAACAATCAAAGACAGGGAAAACAAAGAGACAAAACACAGAGGAGAAATTTAGAGGCAAATATTTGCCAAGACTTGATGCCAGGCAAAGAAGAAAGGAGATAAAAGTCTCCAGTAGGAATTACATTCTATGTCCATGTTAAGAGAAAGGGAATGGAAAAAGAAGGGCACCCGGCTAACACCTTCAGCTGCAGTGGATATGATGCAGACTGTCCATGGAAAGGGTATTTCAGCTATAGGCAAAATACATTTCTGCCTGCTTAATTTAGCAAAAAACAGTGGAAAAGAACATTTTTCTCAGTCAAAATTACTTGCATTTTGGTCCAATCCATCTTATAATGGCTGTAAAAAAATCTCCAAGACCATTTAGAAAGAGGGTAATTCCCATTTGGAATGGGTAAATCCCTCTTCATTTCAGACTGGTTTTAACCAAACAGCTTCCTGCAGTATGTTAAGAGCAGCTGAGTGTTAGATTGCAAAGGGAAAAAAGTTTCATCCATTTCACTTCCTTGTTACGTCTAACCCAGAAGCCAAGCTGACCTACCTTGCCATCATTGTAGAGGTTTGGATTAAATCTCACGCTGTGGCCTCCAGTTGTTTCCAGATTCACAAGTGGAGGGGAATTAGGATAGTCTTGGGGGAAATACACATCAAATTCAAAGCAACCATTTGCGTAAGGGGTGTCTGCAGGACCAGTAATGAGAACCTACCATTGGGAAAGAAGGAAAAAGAACACTTAAACCCCCACCCTTATATTTGTCACACAGTTGAGATTTTATAAGTTATATGAGGCATTTTATTTCCACATGTGACTTAGCAGAAAATATTATTAGAAGTCATAATCATGAGCAGGCTGTCAGTCTGTTCATTTGGATAGAAGGACATGGAACTGTTGGAGGAAGTCCAGAGGAGGCCATAAAGTTGGTAAGAGGACTGGAGCATCTCCCCTGTGAAGACAGGCTGAGGAAGTTGGGGCTGTTCAGCCTGGAGAAGAGAAGGTTGTGTGGAGACCTTATAGCAGCCTTCCAGTACCTGAAGGGGCTACAGGGGAGCTGGAGAGGGACTCTCTGTTTGCAGCTGCAGTGATAGGACAAAGGGTAACGGATTCAGACTGAAGGAGGGGAAATTTGGGTTAGCTATTAGGAAAAAGTTTTTTCCTGTGAGGATGGTGAGACACTGGCACAGGTTGCCCAGGGAGGCTGTGGCTGCCCCAACCCTGGCAGTGTTCAAAGCCAAGTTGGGTGAAGCCTTGAGCATCCTGGTCTAGTGGAGAGATGTCCCTGCCCATGGCAGGGAGGGTTGGGACTAGATGATCTGTAAGGTCTATTCCAACCCCTAAAATTCTATGAGTCTATGGTACTGTGGTTAAGTGAAGCCCTCTGCAAACATTAATTTCCCCAGGTTACAAATGGAAAGCAAGACACTATGAAGTTTTCTTCATACTTCAGGTCCAGAGACACTCAGTGTACCTCTCCACGCGTATTGCCTACAACTTAAACAGTCACATGCAAAGATACATTTTGACCATAATGGAGTAACAAAATTCAACTTTTCCTTTGGAATAGCTGCAGAAGAATAAACCTTGTTCTGTGAAGTCTCCTGGGCTAACAGAGCTCTCCTGGGGCAGATGGACTCTCCCAGCCCCAACTTACACAACATTTGGACAGCAATTATAGTACATGAGAAATAATCCTGTTTTTTTCCTAAGATTTAAGGCACCTCCTTAAACATTTATGTGCCAAGATGAAGAGAGAAATAAAGCCAACTTTGCTTCTTCACCTTCATTATGTCGAGCCGCTCCTCATCGCAGCGCACGAAGACGCTGGATGAGGATGAGAGAGGCAATGAGGTTGAAAGAGTCACAGCTTCTTGAGCAAGACGTCGCGCTCTGGCAGCACTGTTGGCGTCACTCGCGTTTTTCACCTGAGACATGTAGTGGTAATTTACTTTAAAAACCAATTTTCCATCGTCATCTTCAGACACCATTTCAAATGTATCTAGAAGAGAAGAAAATTTTAATGTATCGGGAAAGCAGTGAAGTTAATAATGGATTAGTCTTGGATAAAGATTCTGAGTATTAAAATCAGGGAAGTTTAATTTGCACTACACTAATGCAAAAAATATGGGTTTTGTTAGTGATCAAAGAAAGCAAAGCATTAACAGTGCTGAGTTGAAATAATTTCTGCAGCAAATTTACGAACCTTCACATGCAACTTGTCAAGTGTACACCAGACCTGATTTGGAAAGCTACCAGTTACTCCAGACCAGGAATATAATGACACTTATGAATACATAATACTGCTAGCAAGGGAATCAGTGCAAAGCCAAGTGCCAGAAGTATTGCCTTGTGTGATGGTTTCAATGTTATTAAAGAATCATAAAAAATTACAGTGCAGCTAGTTTTCTTTAATCACTTGCTATGCAACATCTGCAGCATGGCTGCCAGAAGGAGAAGCTCCCACTACAAACCTCCCTACCTCCTCCACTCTTGGCATGCACTGCACAAACAGTTGTGTAGAAAATCGCTTACAAATACAACAACAAAGAAATGTAACTGCAAATGCTGTCACTGCAATTCAAAAAATGCTCAGACAATATGTTTTTGCAGAAATTTTATAGCTCTTTTTGGATAAGATGCTATTTTCTCTTTAGGATTTCTTTTTTTTCCTAACACATTCCCTTTATGGCCAAAGTAAGGACTGAGTCCCATCACACTTTTAAAATACAACATATTGCACTCCATGAAAGGACACTATGAAATTTACTACAGTTTAATTTTAAAAAACTCACATACTGATTTGAATTCTATTCCATTTAAAAAATAAAAGCTACCTTAACGAACATAGATATACTTAATATATGAGCTTGAAAAAAAACCCCCCAAATAACATTTAAGTGTAATTTAACAACTGAAAGACTCACAAATAATTACTGGAATGAAAACATGAATAGCATCATTGAATTCATCTAGTCCCTTGAATTACTCTAGTGTATGCTTAAAACATTTCTTGTTAGTTCAGAGTGCGTGAGTTGGTAACTTGAAAACACAGACTTATGTAATTTTCCATAAGTGATAATTATCAGTCGTCACATATATAAAATAGTTTCTAACTTTTAAAACAATAATGGATTTCATCCAAGAGAACAAATATTTCTTCAGTGTCTGCTTTCTAAAACACAAATATTCACACTTCTCAACCTACCAAACTGGAGTTTTTTCATGACAGCCACGTATTTTTCTTCCAGAGACCGTAAAACGGACAAAGGCTTGGGCTTCACAGCAGCCTTTTTGGAGTACTCAGCCATCTTCTTTTCTGTTACATAAAACATGATGATTATTTGCAGTTAACTATGTAATTCTGAGAAAACCACAGAAAGCGTCTGGGGATTGTTTCACTTGAAATGACATTTTATGGTTGCAATGTTTTGCAGAGAAGTCTCAAACCCAGGCATCACTCACAACATACAAATCTGTTCTCCTCACTGTTGTATATTTCATTATCTGAACAGCTTGAAGTAAATAAAGGTCATAGTCTCGGCTCAGAAATAATTAATGACTGCTGCTGCTGCTATGAATATTCTTTTATTGTTTCCAACCTATTTTAAAAAAAAAATAAACCAGGAAGCACGACATATGCTTGTGTGCATGGCTATTCCCACACGTATTCTTGGACTCTCCAAAATCAGGAGCTGATTGTACATGCCATTATAAAATCCACTCCCCTGATTCAGCTATTTAATCTTTAGTTTTCTTTACTGCACAACCAGATGGTCCTTTGAACATCTGCAGGTTCAATCCACGACTTACATTTTTGTTCTGCATTCATCTAGTTAAGAGTTAATCTAATTGATATGACTTAGATTCAACAGCAAAGGCTTTACTATTAAAGGTCATGTATGCTGCTTTCTGCCGAGAAAAAAAAAAGAATAAAAAAGGGGTACAAGATTGTGCTGGAAGTTGTGAGGTGACTCTAACTTACTTGAATTTCGCTGTTTCATGATCAAAACATTTCAGACTACCACATGGTTCCAACCACCTTTTAAAATGCAGTCAGTGGATGGGGGCAGGAGGGAAGTATTTTGTCCAAAGGTCATGTATGCTGCTTTCTGCCGAGAAAAAAAAAAGAATAAAAAAGGGGTACAAGATTGTGCTGGAAGTTGTGAGGTGACTCTAACTTACTTGAATTTCGCTGTTTCATGATCAAAACATTTCAGACTACCACATGGTTCCAACCACCTTTTAAAATGCAGTCAGTGGATGGGGGCAGGAGGGAAGTATTTTGTCCTAAGCTAATCGATGGTTCCAACCACCTTTGAAAATGCAGTCAGTGGTTGGGGGCAGGAGGGAAGTATTTTGTCCTGCTTTAAGCTAATTTCTAAGCTATCTGTCAGTGACTGTATTACAAATAAACACGACAACTTGAAGCTAATTTCTAAGCTATCTGTTAGTGACTGTATTACAAATAAACACGACACAGTACTTATCAAAGTATTTTTATTTTACCTTGGTTTGCTTGGCGCAAACTGGTGGTAGCAGCATAAACTATCTCAGCAGTCTTTTGGATGTCTGGTACCAAAAGAGTCAGTCCCTCGGGCTCCTGATCAGAAGTATCTGGTTTTACACCTGCTTTAGCTTTGTCTTTTTTAGACCTGTATGGGGCAAAGAAATAGGATACAGCATGAGGGAATATTTTTCAACCAGTCATACTCAGCATATGCGTCAACAGGGAAAAATACCGAAGATAAAGGAACAAGACTAACACAAGCCTTCTGAAATGGAATGTCTCTCTGTATCTCCAGGTTCATCCCTGAGTGTGGCAATCATCTGTGACAACACTGAACACGCTGTCTTGATTTGACAAAGAGATGTACATCTGATATGAAGAGTGGAAACACGAGCACAAAGCCAGTGGTACCAGTGGAACAGTTTCCACTTGAACCTTTCAGTACGTTTGGTTGTTACTCTCAGGCTGACCTTATGTTTGCACACTGTCACAAAGGATTAGAAAAGCTTACAAATTCAATCTAACCAAGATCATGTCATGAATGTGCATTTCATCCATGCAGATCCTCATGCAAAATCAAGTCCTAAAGAGGTAAAGTTCTCTTTCCTGCTACACAATACACACTGGCCATTACTGAAAATACACTAATGGTAAAACTCTAGGAAACCTCGAGTAAAAATTCACAGCATGTATATGAAGGACAACACAGGCATCGCAGGACAGTGGATCAAACATGAAGCTGGTCTCACTCTGCAGTTCTCTTCTGGGCTATAGAAATTTAGACCTTTTATTTCAACAAACAGTTTAACGTAACATAATCTTAAAAGTCTTAAAATAGAAAGGCATCTATATTACATTGGATGTTCATAATCCAAGTATTGCAAGTTAAAATGCCAATTTGAACACCTGACATATTTTGAAAATAGTCTATTATATGTACACATATACACGTGCATATATATTATGCACTGTTGTTTGATAGAAGCTACTTGTCCAATAATTTAAGGGATATTAAAATATTTAGACTGTGACAATGCAGTCTTTAGTGGCACATACACTCAGCTGTTGAAATGAAATCACAGTATTTGATACCAATGTAACCTAAATGTGCATATTTAAAAGCTTCTATGTGTTAAAAGCTAGCATAAATTTATACTGCCATCCTGCAAAACTTAGGGAGATTTTAATGCTAACAGCCCCCACATTATTTTACTGCAATTTCTGTAAATTTTTTGTTTCAAAAGCACTTGTTCATTTTGAGACCCAAACAAGTTCAACAGCCAAGCCAGAAAACTATCTACACAGGAAAAAGCAGCGATTTAATGCTTTGATGTACCAAGCATATTTTAGCAACTATAACCTTTCTGTATTTTAATCCAGACTGAAACCATGCATAATGAATGAGTCTCTCCACTGTTCAGCAGAGGTGATTACAGTAATACTGAACACAGCCTTTGTACGGTACCTAATCAAATGAGAATATCCCTAGAGAGCATTAATAACGAAATTCATTACTGCAGCACGGTACATTTTCCCTGTTCCAGATTTAATCCAAAAGGATGTTAGCCCATTGCTGACTTCAAGCCATGCTGAGCTTTCAGATCCTCAGCACTAGGAGGAAAGCATCAGAGCCAGTGTCAGGCAGCATTTCACAAATAGTTTAGGACAAAGCAGCAGCAGCTTCCTCTCCCATTCATACTTTTCCAACTCCTCATTGTTGCATTCTTCCTTGTGGAAAGCTAGGCCAATATTTTTGAAATAACCAACTACACACATTCAGAAATTCATATTTAAGCCCACTAAACCTCAGTAATAACCTGTTTGACTTCACAGACATGCTAGGAGCTACCAGTCCTAAGAAAGGTGTACAGATTTAGATCTGCCTGCTGTGGATGTAGAAGCCTTACGCTATTTGTTACAAAACCCCTGGAGAAATTTTGGCTAAAATGAAATGTCAGTGGGCTTTATCCAAGAGAAAGATGTGTGAAAAGCAATAAAAATGTGCTTGGTGAAGGTACTGAAAGTGAAATTAATTCTTACAAATTCATTTTCAAGACAGTTATCTTGTAGGTCTTTCATCTCCCACATGGTTTCACAATTTGTACTACTTGGTTGAGTTTTTTACTTCTACTTGGTCTTAGAATCAAAAACATTGAAGTGTTGGCCTCATTAGACAAAATGCTTAACCACATGCTTTAAATTTGCCACAGATATACTGAGTTACTGACAGTCAACTACCTCAGCAGACAAGGATATATACCTAGTTGAAGCTGTAGGAAAAGGAAACACCCACTCAAATGAAAACTCTCAGCACCAACAATATAATTTCTTCTCGTTCTCCCTCCTGTCCAGAGCAGTTACATTCCAGCAGTTTTGTACTATCAAAAGAGAATATATTTTCCTATTTTCTCCTTTGCCACCAATATGATGGTTCTGCTCACTGAAACTATGAGCACAACAGATGAACCCCTGAACCCTCCTCAGAATATACTTTTTAAATAAAGCATGTGCACAACAGCTCTGTCCTGACACCTGTAGTTACCTGGGGCTTGTGTGATGGTCTACATTACCAAGCTGCCTAACTCCCGAGTCAGGCTGTAACTCTGGAAAAGCAGTTTAGGAAGCAAAATGCAGGAATAAATCTAACTCTGACTCAACTCCTACCTCCACCCCCCCAGTCTCATTTTTGACCTTGATTCTGTCTAATCAGGGATTTCAGTCAGTTTCTTAGTGAGTATAATTTAGCTGGTATCACAAAATCCCAAATCAGACATACTGCCTTAGCAACAGTTAGTTTCCTCACACAAGTCTTGCTTGTATATTCTAATGGTTAGTTAGGTAACTTCTTTTCTCCACTTCTGGGGAAAAACCCAACTGATACTGCCATAACTTGCAAGACTCCTATTAATGATGACCTCCATGGTTTTTTTCCCTCATTTTATCTTCCTACCTTTGATTGATACAATATGCTGTAAGAATACCATCTTAGTGTGATTAATCCAGCATGGTTTGTAAGATCACAGAACCACAGAATGGTTTGGGCTGGAAGGGACCTCAAAGACCATCCAGTCCCAAGCCCCTGCCATGGGCAGGGACACCTTCCACTAGCCCAGGTTGCCCAAAGCCCCATCCTGGCCCTGAACACTCTCAGTGATGGGGCACCCACAGCTTCTCTGGACAACCAGTTCCAGTGCCTCACTACGCTAGCAGTAAAGAAGTTTTTCCTAGTATCTAATCTAAACCTACCCTCTGTCAGTTTGAAGCTATTCCCCCTTGTTCTATAAGCTCTTGTAAAATGTCCCTCTGCATCTTTCTTATAGACATGTGCCTCATTATCTTATTCCCTACAACTTCAGTTTTATATACAAATATCTGGAGAAATTTAACAGCACTTTACAGTTTCTCAGTTTATTTACAATCAACATATGGTAAATCAAGTAATTCCCTAGACTCTAGATGGGAAAATCTGTCAGAAGTTCCACAAGGGTATGTACTTTCATACTGCTTATAATTTTTAAAGTTCACACAGTTTTGCCATCAGAGACAGAACTGAACTTCATTGCAGACATGAGCTAGTACACTTCATGTATTATTTCCTTTATGTTAGGAGACCACAGCAGCCCTTTCTCAAAACATATCCTTGAAACATACACAGAAGCACAAGTAGAGCCCCAGCTTGAGAGAGGGAGTTGCTGGGAATTACAAGGCTCTCCCAAAATGACACAAACGAGGAGAAGAAATACCAAAATTAAAGCGATAAAGCCAGTAAGATATTTCTCTGCACTCCATCAGTCTGCATATAAATTTATGCATGCAGATAACTAACAGTTTTATCAAAATCCTGAGCTTTAATACAGGACAAACCTTTAATGTTAAGATTTTCAGAGTGGAGGAGGAGCCAAATACTTAACTTAGACACAGAAACTCCCCCATACAGTTTTTCAACCACAGAAGTAAAAGCAGCAAAAATGTCAACTCATATTTAAAGGGATGACAGTCACTAATATATTTGCTAGAAGAGACAGCAGTGTACATGCTAATAATTTAAGCCATTAATTTAGCTTGTGCTAGAAGGTGACAGCCTTCTCTTCACGCTGTGCTAAATGAATAATGAATGATACACTCCCAAGGCAACTTTAATTTTTAAAGCCAATACTAATACTTACTCACCCGTGCCTGATACTCAGAGGTAAATGTGATGATACAGAACGATACCCTTATCAAAGCATTCACAGAGTAAAGCCAACGAACCGTTCAGCCCCTGTGTACCACAGGGACAGTGCTTATAGCACAGTGCTGCTGCCCAGGGTTAGATTGATGTTCACTGTCGTAGGATCAAACGACCATAGGTTTGCAACTGCAGTATCACTCAGCCCTCATGGTCTCCCACATAAAGCTAGTAACCTCCTCTGAGACTGCTCGATGGACTCCTCACTGGGGCTTCAAGCTCTGCTTACAGACACTGAGCTGAAGCATTCCAGACCAGCAGAGGCTGCAGGACTGCTCCTGCACACAACCATCAGCTCCACACACGAGCTAGAGAGTGCAGCAAAAGGAACTGACAGTTGTTTTGTCTTTTAAAGAAAAATAAATTGAAACAAATTAGGACTCAATTCTTGGGGCCCAATTATAAAGAAAACATTTTGCTTGCAAAATGCATCCTTTCACATGTAAGTCCTGCGAAGTAACAGTGAATACAACAAAAAGCCATAGCAGGAAAAATGCCTCAGGCCTACCTGGTTGTATTCTAGCATCCCCATGCAGCAGAGTTAGAATTTTGGACACAGCTTGATAGATTGCACATCACACAAATAAACCATCAGCTTATTTTGCCAAAATTAGTCATTTGCCATGGAGCTCACCCAGCAGCCAGTGGTTCTGATGAGGCTGCTTTGTCACAGCAGCAGCTCTGCAGCCATCACAGCAAACTAATGTCTCAAACTCAGCCCTCGTGGCAACCCAGAACACCATTCTGACTGCTCTCCAATTAGTGATGGCTTTTGAGTCCCGACCAATCAAAGAGTCAGGAGAAATCATCTCACACCTAAATGTCTTCTCCATTGCCCAGATATTTCCCAATTTCCCAACAGAGCATTACGACCTCTGAAAGTAAAGGAAATTCAATGCTAACTAGAATCCAAAACCAAAACTGTGCCCCTTAAATTCTGGATGAAAGTGACACTCCTGCTCCAACATGGAGATGACATTTGGTAGACATATAAGTCTGCTGTTCAGATGAAGAGAAGTTTTGCCTTTGAAATAAGAACCCATAATTATATTGTTGTTCTGGCAATTTGACATAAAAGAAACAGCAGATTGTCCCATTTAAGAAATTCGTGCCAATACTTGCTTATATTTCTGGCACACCTTCAACTACAATGCTGAGAATTCAAACCTTCCACCCCAATGATTCCAGGCTGTTCAAGCTGTTGGTGTTTTTATCCTTGTCTATATCCTGCTTTAAAGACAAGCAGTATTATGCTTAAACCAACCAGTGAAACACAAGCTTCACTTTTGCGCTGATATATATCAAAGTAATACAAGAAAATTGTACAGATAATGTAACTGAACCAACCATGGAACTGTTAGCAAATCCATCTAATAACGATAGTTAAAAATAACACCGATTCTGCTTCTAGAATTAGTCTTTGTTTTCAGATCCTAAGATGACACTGGAGAATTAGTCATACCATATTTAGTTTACCAAATCAAAAAGAACTTATGAGTAGTCCTGTGCCATTCTCAGAAAGAAACTTTTCAGACTTCAACCTGGACAGGTGATATGAGAAAATATAGGTTTCCGTGGCCATTTAATCTGAGGCTAAAGGACGACCAGATTAGCAAAAAAACCCAATCAGTGATGCTAGTGGAGAATTATATACATATATATTGGAAATGGATTACACAGAAGCCAAATATATTTTCTTTCCTATTCTAAGAAGACTACATTTACTATGATCTACATAATATTGCCAGCAAGCACAAACTGACATTTTTATTTTCTAAGAAGGTTACATTTACTATGATCTACATAATACTGCCAGCAAGCACAAACTGACATTTTTAGATGGGTATCCAACATAAAGGACTGCTTTTTACCTTCCTGACTCTGTTTCTTTTGCACAAAGTATGCAAACAAATCCCACCACGAGTACATTACATGCTTGATAGGCAAGACTACCAGTCTCAGCCAAGAAGGATTAGAAAAATGTATGGGTAAAGTGCAGTTCATCAGAAGTTACTAGAAAGAGTTCCCAATAATGAGATTGCTGCTCAGAAAGTCTCTTGGGCAATGGCTGGCAAACACTCTGAGTTACAGTGGGAGAAAGAATATTCTCTGCACACCTTTTCCTGACATATTTACCTTCTGTTCATGATGTTTCAGCATATGCTTAGGGACATCATGAAATCTTGCAGGGAAAGGCACATTACTATTTCTTAATAAGCTGTCTTTAAATTGAAAGCAAGTAACCAGAATCAAGAAATCAATTAATTGCTGCAAGCAGAAAATTATAAAAAAGTAAAGAAATGAAAATTTGTACTGCAGCATTTGCAGTTACCAATGAAATGACAAAGGTATGCAAAACCTACCACCTTCACACCAGCTACATGTGTCATACCAGAAACACTCCTTGTAAACAGTACAGGAAAGCTGACAGATACACATAAACAAACCTAGATCAAACAGCTGGCATGTTCTCACTCTGGACTGTAGCACCCATTCAGCTAAATATACAGACCTGAATCTTCTTTCACTTCTGTATTCATAATATGTAAGAATGCAATACAGTTTGAATGAAGGTTAGGGATGAGAAAAGTGATTACCTCAGTCGGTTGGTATAGGTATCTACACAGGTCTTCATTTTAGCCAACAAAGTCCCAACAGAAGCTTGGGACTCCAACTGTTCTTCCTCCTCTTCGCTACTTTCTCCTGAGAGTGGAAGCAGTAAGGGTACCATGGATGTGCAGGATGCAATAGCACGGAGCAGTTCCAGCAGAGCTCGGTAAAGGGGAACGTGTCGGGCCATATCCAAAACTGAAAGAGACAACCAGCTTACAAAAATTACTAAAATTGAAGACCATTTCACTTTTAGTAGAGATGCTTTAAATAGAAAACATAGATTTTAATAATTATTAAAATATTAATTAAATTTAATGATAAAACACAGTATTTTCTAATGACCATTTACAATGTGTGTTTTAATGGACCTGTCCAGAAAAAAAATTGGTAAGACACCTGGAAAACAAAGGTCAACAAAAGACACAAGAGGACAAAAATGCAAACAAGGTATGGAACAGGGCTCCCCATGCTATATTCATTTCTAGCAGTTTAATATACAACCCTGGCTCAAGTTGTATGCTGACAGTAATCGTAAACAAAAATCTATGGAGGAAAAGTTGTAACCCATGGTGTAGCAGAGTAGCATTTGCTGATTCTAATAGCGTAAGCATTAAAAAAGACTTTTATATCACCCACTTTATTTACAGTTATCTTCTCCTTTGGGAAAATTTGTCTGCATTACTGCAAGAGTATTTATGGTCCTGAAATAAATGAAGTTATCTACTTAGCAGAAGTCTAGTTTTGCTTCTTTTAATGGAGAAAGTATAATTTATAAAAGCATTCTGCATTCTTCAGAGTGTGCAAAGGTTTTGAAGGAGATGCAAATTCTATCTGCATACATATGAACCACGAAACAGTAAGGATGAGTAAGAATACATATCAGGTAGGCAAACCTCACTGTCCTGGTGCTGCTCAGTGTGATGTATGTGCATTATGGAAGTAACTGTGGGTAGGATACAGGTACCAGCTCCTCTGATGAGGAGAGACAGGCAGAGACACACAATTCTAATGGATTCTCTAGCACCACATTGTTTCTTTTTTCTTTTCCATTTGTTTGGACAAATATGCAATGGATGTCATTTCAACTGACTTTGTATCATTAATAGAAATCCTGAAAACGTAGCAATAGGCAGATACTTTAACACAGCTGCTTCCTCTGTCCCCAGGACATGCTATTTTTAACCTAACCGCAGAAAAAATTTGCTCTAGTTTAAAGTATTCACAAATGACTGAGTTTATGATAAAATAAATTTATGCTTTTTCCAGCAAAAACCCCAAGACAACAAAAAGCCCCTGACAACTCACATTAGGACAGAACAGAGCACAGAAGAACTCTTTAATGTTTCATTTAGCACATCTCATCCTCCAAGCTAAAGCAGATCACAAACTTTCAACTCCTGTCACCAAACCCTTAGCTCTAAATACAGCATGATGGGACAGTATAAATAGCCAAGCTAAATTCAACAAGCCAGTTTATGCAGGTTTAAAGTTGGATTTATCTCTACCAGGAGTTCTTTGATCAGTAGCTTCCTATTTGTACTTTGAATATATTACCATGGCACAAACTGGGTGAAGAGCTGCTCAACAGGAAGAAAATTTACTGAAACAAAGTATACATCTGTCAGGCCTGTCTCATGGCTCTAAAAATATCCTGTGTCAAAATATTCCATACAGTTACAGCAACCTGAATTTAAATTTACAAAACTGCCATTAAGAAAATCACTTTCAATTATTTTTTGATTCTTCCATGTATGTGTGTATATATATGTCTCCTTATCTTATCCTCAGTCTCTAGTGAACAATGACTACCCACAGAAAAACCCTCATGGTGTGTAAAAAAGGCCTGAAAATAAACATGAATAGATCTGATGATGTGTGAATTTTTTTAAAAAGCGCAAAAAACCCCAAAACACACAAAAAAGAAAAAAAATAGAAGAGGAGGAGGGAAAGAAAGGACGAGTATAAAACTCCCCAGTATAGCCCTGGCCAGAAACCACCTCCCACCTGTAGTGCTAAAGATCAAGTCGCTCCTCAATTTAATCAATGGCTGTTTATTATGAGGATAGTGAGTGAGGGAGAGCTATGACCTCTTAGATAACCACAGCATTTCACTCTGGAAAGCTTTTATTTATTTATTTTAACCATGAAATTTTCATGAGGCCAGAATATATAATTACAAATCCTTCAATGCTGGCTTGCCCTTTCCTTTGCTAAATGGATAGTTAAGTTCAAAATTACTGTCATGAAGGGAACTGAACTGACATAACTTTAAAATGGGAATGTTTTTCAGAAAGATAGGAGAGATTTCTGGTTTTAGCAGATCCAACTCACTTGCATTGCTTTGCAATTGTTACCATGTGAAACAAATGAAACCTCCTTTTAGGGAACAACTACCGATTTCTTTTATGTTAATGCCAGACTCTTCTAAACTCAAATTTTTCAATACCATTATGTTCCCTATGATATTTTTCTCCAGGATCTTTACTTTTTTAAAATACCATTATGTTCCTTATGATATTTTTCTCCAGGATCTTTACTACACTCTCTAAAAATTATGACCCAAGCAAGTGTATTTCTCTGTCCAAAACACCAGAATTCCCCTCTGTCACCAATCTAAATGCTAATCAAGACTGAATATCTGGATAAATATCAGAAAAACTTGCTTTAAAGAACTGAAAATTGGCAAATAACTGTTGTTATGTTTATTTGGCAGTTCATCTGCTCCTTGTGCCTACTTGGCCTTCCCTTGAAAAAGAATGCCAAAGCAACTACAGTGTGTTTTCTGCAGATACAGCTCTGCTTTCTGAAATAGCTTAAGAAGTCTTGAGTACTTTTTTAAGCTCTACATTATTTTAAAGACACTTTGTTCAAGCCACAAGTACAAGAAGACACTCTTTTATAAGTTATCCAGTAGGCTCAGATTTGCTGACCTGCCCACCCCCTCCTGGTGTGGTTGGCTGCACCTACAACTATCCTAGGAGCACCTTTCTGGACTGAGGGAGGCTTAGCAAGTCCAGCAGCATTCCAACCAAAACCTCAGTGTTCAGGCTGTACCACTCAGACTCCATCCTCATCCTTACTGCTTTCAGTGTTAGCATCATCTAAAGTTAGTTGGGATTTATGCTAGATGTCTTCCTTTCAGATATCACTACGTATATATTGGGGAAGAGTATTTCAGAAATGCAAATTATAGAGCTTTGTAAAACAAAGACAGATCCTGTAACAAAGTCCTTTAAAGGAACTGAACTAAAATACCACAAACAAATAAAAACAAAATACAAACCTGCAAATGAACAAATCCTACTTCCATCAAATAGAAGCAATGGAACTTCTGGACTATCATCCTCACACACAGGTGTCTTACCAACTAAGATGGCAGCAATTTGGATTTTAAGCAAATATAAACTTCAATGAAGAACAAGTGCTAAAAGTAATCCACTATATCCTTCAAAGTATGCTGTTCCTGGGGAACAAAACTGACTTCTGCCTGACTGAACTGAGCAATGCAGGTGTAGCATAACACTTTGCTTGCATTAAATAAGGTAGCTGCTTTTGCAAGAAAGAAAATCCAACACACTAGAAAACAGAAAAATAATTTTGCTATTAGTAGAGATATAATTTGAATAGCATTAGCATATCTTAAATATGTCAGATTTGTTTTATATATTTACTCCAGTTGTATAGAAGGCACTAAAGTTTGATATATATGAGCATGCACATGAGCACACCAATTTCCTAAGAAAACGAAAATGGGAGATTAAAATTCTTGGCTTTGTAAAAATGACGGATGGATATACTATCCAGGATTCTCTGTTATCCCAAAGACAAACCAGTTACTAGAAAATGACAAATACCTTTCACAACGTGCTCGGTTTGGTGCCCTCAGGTTCCCACAGTGTGTACTCCTGGCTGTTAGGCTCACAGCACCTGTGTGCTGTTGGTGCTCCCTGATTCTGTGGGGCAGTGAAGTGCTGAGGAAGGTCCAACTCCCAGCACCAGAAGCTCCCCACTGTCGACTCTCAGACAGAACTGCTGCCCCAGAGAGCCCATCTAAACTTTTGCTAGGTTTCCTGAGTGTTTCTTCCAATGACTGCTACATGTCATGTACACAAAAGTAGAGATTTGCAATCAGATTTTATCCAGCTTGTCTGCCCTAAACAGGGCTGTCAGGACAGGGCTGCCCTGCAACAGCAGTGTTGTCTAGAAGGCTCCAAAGCCAGCACCTGGAATGTGGCCTCTGCACCACCTGACCAAAGCTGCTTCCCCTGACAGCCTGCCATGTGCTTCTCAACCTGTGCTCAGTAAATACACAGCAAGGTCTCACCTTTTGGCTACAGTGGCAGTTAACCAGTAGAGCATGAAGCAGGCTAAACACTGC